CATTTAAGTATATTTACCCTGAAAACTACATAAAATCCACATGCGATCGATGAGTATTAACTCAGAAGCTTAAGCAATCTAAGGTCCTCGATCTACAGTCTCCTAGTTATGCTTCCTGGCAAATTTACCTCTTTTTTTCTGAATTACGTAGCCCACATTTAGCTTCCTTGGAAACAGGTTATAACTTACCCCACTGTTTCATACCTCTAGAAAAGAGAGCAGTGAAGTGTGCACCCCCCCAGTATGGGCTGATAAGAAGCCTTTGAGCAAAGCAATTAGCTCATCTCTGTCCCTGTAGTATCCATGCTGACTTTTGCCTGTTCATTCCTCTCCTGCCCCTTGGAATTCAGAAGCTACGCAGCCTGAAGGCTGCTTCTCCATCATGGAACTGATCCTGCTCAGTGAAGATGGAACATCAGAGGGACATCAGAGCGTGCACTTAGACATGTGTGAGAACTGGGCTTGAGATTCAGGTCTGATAGGGGTGACAAGGCTGCAAGGACCTTAGTGTTTACCACAAAAATCTCTGGATGCCACTTGCAGAGACAGCACCAAAAGATAATTCTTTTGCATTCTTTCCCCCAACCTTATGCCTGCAGAGTAGCAACCAACAGCCACAGATCTGTGCTATATTTCCAAAAGCATCTGAGATAGTTATTTTTGAGAAAAAGAAAAAAAGACTGGGGCATTCAAAGCCTTGCCCATTTTGCGCACAGGGCAAAGATGGTCCCATGAAGCATACAGCTCTCCTGGAAGGCACTCGCTGGGGTTCAAGGGCTGGTACTCCTCAGGCTAGCTGATGGCGTGTGATCCCCAGGAGAGAGGTTTCCTGATGGCCCTGCTATGGATAACATCTCACTGGTATTGCTCCTCAGCCACATGCTACCACCCAGTGGGTCAGCTTAGCCCAACTTCCCATACTTCTAACTAAGAGAGAAAATGAAAAGGGGAAAGGTATGCTACACCCTTTCATTAATAACCAGAAATGTGTAACACAAATGACCCTCAGTGACTGCTCCCCCTGCATCCATGTATCTGCTGTCCCCAAAGACTCGCCCAGACGGCACATTCCAGTCAGATGGGACCTGTGCCCTACACAGTGGTTCTCTGCTTCTCCCAGCTTGGTGACTCTTTGGACAGAAAGCCACAGAAATTAAATGATTAGTCTCTATTTCTATACACATGGGGCATTGATCCCAGGGTCTGTTTTATGGGTTGGGGAGGGGGGAAATGGGACGGGGACAGGCTGGGGGAAGAGTGTGAGTATATTTCATTTATAAAGTCAAGCCCTGTTCTAGCAAATATCTGAGTTCCTGTTTCTTTCCCTCTGTATTAAACTCCCTGTCCTCTTACAGGAAGTCTTAATAAAGTCTCCAGGGATGTTTAAAATGAATTTTAAAAAATCATAATCCCCATATGGAAGCATTGGCATCACTAAGATACACCACTGTGTGATAGCATGGAGCCAGGGAATATTTGAAGGCCTGTAAAATAAACTCATTAAACTAGTATTCTGAATGCACTGCCTATGGAGAAAGCCCCCTGTAAGCTACTTCCTATCGCTCGAGTGGAGCAAAAGATTTGACTGGGTTTCATAGCTGAGCAGTTCTTAGGGTGGGATGCGGGGAGAGCAGTGCTTTACTGTAAGAAGGACAAGGAGCAGGAGACAAACCCTTGCTGCAGAGTACAGGGCTGGCTTTCTGCTTTCAGAGGTTTTGTTTCAAATTCATCCCTCAGAATCATGAGGAACAAGCTGTACAGGGCTCTTGGGGTCAGCCACAGACAGACTCTCCAAGTGCAAGGGGCTGGCAAAAGGTCTCTGAGTGTTAGAAACGGTTATCAGTTAAAGACCACCACAAAGGGTCTCTGCTCTTGAGCTACTGAGCCAGGACCAACAACTAAAGTGGTTGAAAATGACAACCCTGAATGGCTGGGGATCCCAGCCAGCAAGCAGGACGCACTACAGAGGACCATCAGAACAGGCTGTCTATCCAAAGGCCATCAAAATCCAGCATCTGTTGAGTGTGAGACTCACCAAAGGGCCTACAGCCCAGAGTCTTGTCTAGGACGGCAGCACAACAAATGCCCAGGGCAGACTATAAGAATAGACCAAATATGTAATGATGCTTTTCTTGGGGGCTCTCTTCATCTCCAGGTAAAAGGAGATTTTCTCTTCCCCAAAGACAGACTCTAAAGAGCAGCAAGTACAAGCCCAAAGAAAGGCAGATTACAAAAATCTCTTTATTTCTTTTTCCCCTCACTCTCCTTAAAGTAAATGAGTTCCTCTAGGACACCGTATCACCTCTTTGGCTTCTCAACTGCAGATTTTAAAAGTGATCATGCATTTCTATTGTGTCTTAAATAGGAGAATTTCTATTGTATGCTATGACCTCCCTGGAAATAAGTTTGTTTGACAGGTAGTTTTATGGTAAGAGAAGATAGGGAAGTTCAGGGAGGCTTCACCACCATTATTATAGATTAAATCCCTGGGGAATCTTAAGAAGGAAATGTGCACAAGGCACTATTTCACAAGACGAGTGCTCAGGTCCCATCCGTTGTCCCAGATTTTGCTTGCGACATTAAGCAGATTGCCTTTGGGTAACCCTGCATTACACTTCTCAGTCTGCAGGAGTCTGGACTGAGGGACTCAGTGCATCAGGGACTTAACAAATGAAAATAATGCATTTTCCTTAGCCAGAAAAGATTAGGATCATAAGAGCTTCTCAGTTCTGTGTGCAGAAATGTGGGGAGTGCCATATGAAATGTCATCTGAAACTAGAAACAGTAGGGAGTCAGCGTTATCTCACAGTTATTGTCTGATGCATCACTGACAAACCTTAGAGCTTTGGGTGTTATAATTCAGGTGGATGTGTGTAGCTTGTTGGTGCATTTGCTGGAATATGCTCAAGGGATCTCTAATCACAACAAAGGAGGAAAAAAAGAGAAGAGGGAAAGGAGATTTTTTCAGGAAAGGAGATTTTTTCAAATCTATTTTTGAAAATGACCTTTTTTTTTTTTTCCTTTTCAAGCAAAGGATGACCTTTTGGAAACCAATCTAGTCCAAGAAGTCAGTAACATCAACATGACCTGTGATGGTGAAGAGCTCCATCGCCGGTCCCTGAAAAAATCTGGAGGTCGTTCCATTTTTATTTTTGGCCATGGGAAGGGCAGAGCTATGACTTGAACAGCTCTGCTTTGCCAGGATCCACCTCAGGTTCGGGACTCCAGATGACCCCTCTTTGGAAGGGGGAAATCTCCTTTCTCCCATTGCCAGGGCAGGTCTCATTTGTTCTCCAAGGGTCTAACCAGGTGAGCAAGGCAACACAGATGACCCAATCGCTTTCCTTGCTACATCTCAAAAGGGAGCTGAATACAGTGAGTTTACTTTCTGAGGACAGAGCCAAGACACTATTAATAATTAGATCTGTATTATGAAAGCAATAAGAAGCTGCACTTCTTGTCCGAAGTTCCACTGTGTGAGACAGTATACAAAAGAGAACAAAAAGGCCATCTTTTTGCTCAAGAGCCTCTGGTGCTGCTGTAATTACTCCAGAGAGTTTCATCCTTTCAAGAAAGCTGGAATTTATGGTGAAAAAGTATCACAACATTTCCTAGCAACAGATGCATCTTGTGTGCAGTATCTCCTGGCAGATCAGCATAGAACCTAACCTTATCTTTTCACCGCTTTTTTATAATATTAAAAGTAAAACCATTGAGGAAAAGGGAGGGGAATAAACATGCCTGCAGCTTGTACACGGGCTTCAAAAGAGCCAGAAATGAAACTAAAGGAAACCCAGTGTCTCCAGCCCCTCCTCTCATCCTCTGGATGAGGCCTGCTCATCCACATTCATGATCCTCACAACAATCCCTTGGGACACCTAACTTGGCCAACTTAAGCTTTATGCACCAAAGGCAATGATATTTTCCTGATGGCTCTTGCATCGGCGATGTCTATGGGATATTAAGCTACTGCCAACTGCACTCTTACCTCTGTTAACCAGAAGCATAGTAGGGGAAAAAGGTGATGGCTAAGGTGGCCAACTGAGTCTTCTTTAGACTTAAGAAAAATAGATATGACCAAAGCTAGGCTTAATTTAACACCATGAATAAGACAAAACCTCCCAGCAGGGGCTACCTGTAAAACTGGCTTCAGCTATTACGGAAGAACAGGGTCCCCTCTAGTGGAAAACGATGGTATGTATTGGTCAGGAGATCCTAACAGTCCTTCCTCATCCTGGCTCTGTAGTATCTGAATTTGTTTCCTCCAGTCACCCTTCCCACACACGCACTGCCAAGCTGACCTAATGAAAGTGGAGATATTTTGTTGCTACCTGGATGCCTGAGTTTTGGGTCCTAAATCTTGCTTTTGGTGTCTGGGATTTGTTGTTCCACTTACATCTGCAGAGAATTCAGCATGTCTCCAATCTTGTCGCTAATGATTCATTCTGCAAAGCTTCGGCTATGGATGTAACTTTTCCAATGCAATTTCTCCATCTGGTGGGTGTAAGCAGCAGCTCCTGAGCTGCTGTTGGTCAGTGTGCAACACTACAGTAATGCTATTTTACGCCTACTGAGCTCTGGCATTCACATTCCACCTGATCACTATAACATAGCAGAAATACAGGGAAAACAGCACAACAGTTTTGAGAGACATGCCTATAAATTTAGTTCTCTCCATGCCCACTTCAGTGAGAGGCATTACAACAAGTTATGTTAGCTAGGATGTTTTCCTGGAAGTTTGCAAACCCCAGTAAAGCATTCCCATCATTCCACCCACATACAGTCACTCCAATGAGTAAGAAACAAGTTCATTTATATCCCCAGGGGACCCTATTTTGGTCCTTCTCAAAGGAGAAACATTTCTTTCAAAATTAACACATCTTGTTTTTTCGGTGGCTAAGAATGTAAATTAATGTGACACAGTATGTAAGACTTTGAACATATTTTGTGTCTAATCTTGGCAGAAATTAATTCAAATTTATTGCAAAGGCTCCAGCAGTCCCAGATGCAGCATTTTATTTTCTTTTCCCTTTTTATTTTTTTGGCAGAGGATCTTGCAGGGAAGAGGGCTAAGAAAAGAGCTCTTACTGTGTGATAATGAGCTTAATGAAGAAACGAAGAGATAGATTTTCATCACTGGAGATTTCCGATCATGTGCATATCAGGTCCTCTTCCACCTTACCAAATAGGTACAGATTGAGAGAATAAGAGTCAGCGTCCACAGTCTGCAGATCATAAGTAACATTGACAGGAGGATAACAGTACCACACCGTGCAACATCTTTCCAGTCACAGGACCTGGAAGCACTCCTGCCTGGCCACATCACAGCTGGATCCTACCCTACAGAGGTTTCACCTGTGAAGTGGACTTTAGAAGACATAAGAACCCACTCAAACCTTTGCAATACTTGGTGTGCCAGACAGCGAGCTCATGCAAGCTTGTGCGCTTCCAGGGGAGCAGCATCCATGCAAGTATTGCCTGCTCTAAACACAATTCTCTTTTTCATTTCTTTTGCTTTTGACATCCTATAAAAGAAATCAGTTACACAGGGAGCGAACAGAAGAAAGCATGTGACTGAAATATAATGACTGACAAGGTGCATTCTTTTATATTGGAATCAGTGTGCTTTGATCAACTCTGGTGCTAGGAGCCTCTGCGGCTCCCTAAAGCGAAGGTGTGTTCATGTGCACTGACACCTCATCAGGCTTACTCCAAAGCTTTTACATCACTATTCTGCGGATGCTCCTCCTTTACAGAGTTCCCTTTTTATCAAATGAAGTGAAAGCAACATTTGAGAGCAAGAACATAAAGTGTACAGACTTGGGTGGCGGGATAGCAAGGACCTTAGTGCAGGTGTCAGATAAGGTACAGGGTGATGGAGACAAAGTCAGGGAGCTCTGCTCAGAGCGGGATGCTCTTAACGTCTGGAGTCTGAGACATTTGGGTCGAAGTCCTGGTTCTGATACTGATTTATGGTGTGACTCCAGTTAAGGTCCTTAATCACTCTTGTTCTTGTGACGCTAAAATTTCTTTGTTTTCCAGGGCCTGTGTGTTGCAAAGAAGATGAGATGGGAGCATGCTGCTTCTGTTGCTCCGTCTCCTCCCAGTTCGAGGAATATAAGGAGCAGAATAAGTGCCTACCTGAGATGCTTTTGCCTCTCCCTTTCTCACAGCACTTGGTGAGACACAAGTTGGAGGCTTCCTTTGGCATTTGCCCTAGATGAACTCTGCCTCTGAGTATTTGGGCAATACCATTCCCAGGAAGATGGTAACCCACACCTTCTTCATGATGGAGAAGAGGAACTCACGCGGCTCTTGCTGAGCTTATCTTTCACCTGAAGCAGTGGCTTTTTTCCCACTCAGATCCACTGGTCTCAGATGTGGTGCATGCTGCTGCTAACTCCCCCAAGGCACGTTGCCGCAGATGGAGTTTGACACTTAGAATTTGGCAGTGAGTCTACCTGGACCAACTCCGGAAGCGGGAAGCATTGTGCTGGTGAGTGGTAGAGGAGACAGGAACCTGGACGCTCGCCCCAGATCCAGAGACCAGGTTTTGCATGGAAGAGTCATTGCATTCCCTTTCTTCACAGCCCCAGCTGAAACGATGGAGAAAAGTTCCTTTCTGAGCCTTACCTAAACCCTTGTAGCTGGTGCATCGTCCTGAGGCATAAACCTGTGCATCTGAGACCTCCTAGGCTGAGGAGGGGACTGAAAACAGATCGTCCACTCCTGCCTAGAAGCTGTAATCCCCACTCATCTAACCTGCTTTCATCCACTGAAAAATTAGTTGTGGGACTGAGATTCAGGCATTTAAATGTAAGTGCGACTTGGGTATCATTGTAGTCGATGGAGATCTAAGGCTCAAATCACTTGTCTGCATATAGGGGCAGAATTTCTGACCTAGCAGCATCCCTGACTTCTTGCAACTCCTCTGGCTTTGGAGGCAGTGAACTGTCACCATTCACTCTCTTGGTAAATATTTCTGTGGGTTGTGAACACCTCTCCCATCCTTGCTACCTAAGTCCTACACCATCACTGGTGTAGCACCAGCAGCACCAGGTCTGGTGCTTTTGGAACCCTCCATGAACTGAGTGACCTCATTAACACAGTAGAAAACTTTTTGTCTTGCTGGGTTCATTTTCTGCCAGGATGGGATGCGTAAGAGAGGGGAAAGGAAAAAGGAAAGGTGAGCTGAATGAGACCTGTCTTTGCAGTGATAGATCTCACTGCATGTGATAGATAGAACTCACTGCATGTGCTGAAATCACAGGGGTAGGAAAGAGTTGGATTAACATAACTCTGATTAATAGGGTGAGCCTCGTAGCCTGTACTTGAGATAACTCCCTCTTGGCCTCATGCTGTAGATAAAGCTGCACCAGCGCATGTGCTCAGAGACTGTGAATCCAATGGAGATGACAGAGCTTTAGTCATTATGATAGCTTGCCAATTATTTCCACTTAGCTTGTATGTTTTGCAATTGCCAGCCTAAATATCCGATGTCTGTTGATCTCCAGGCACAAACTGCTGAGATATTTACAAAGCACATTAGCAGAAAAGCCGCTCATGTTAAAACTACTCCTAAGAATTCTCCAGGAGGTGAGAGAAATAGGAGCCACACTGAAATGATGCAGAAGCCCCGGTTTCAAGACTGCTCAGGAAGAGCGAGTGAGAAGGCAGGCAAGCACTCAGTTCGGCTCCCCTTGGATGCCGAGTTTCTGCTGGAACGTGCTGAGCATCTTCACACCCCCTCCCTCCCCATGGGCTTTTGTCATCTGTGGACTTCACTGAAGTGATGATGAAGTGAGGACAGCTACTGCCTGCAGCTGCACGGATGAGATCTGCTTTTTTATTCTGTGTGCCTCCTCCTACAGCCTGATTCGTATGTCTTTCACTAGAAAATTAGAAAAGAGATAAGCCTTCTGAGAAATACACAGTTCTTGGTCTAAGGAAGAATTTTCCTTCAGCAGTTCAGTAAAAGAGGTAGGAGGGAAAAAAGGAAAGCTTTCTCCCATGTGTCCGAGCCATCTCTCAGAAACCACATGACCCAATTCTTTGGGTTCTTCATTCTTTGGCCTTTACCATCCAGAAAGTACTTGATGCCTAAAATTTTCCATGTGCAAGTCCTATTTAGGAGGAGAGGAGTGCTAACGAATGTTTATCAAAAGCCTTGAGGTCCTCCAGAAGAACATATTTTAAATGAACCGTGTCCTCCCATTAGTTTAGGTCTTTATCGCTGTGCATTATGATCCTTATCAAAGTCCTGGTTCTCACCCCAGCTTTCAGTTTTGTTGCTATCTGCACAGTAAATTTTATTTATAAGCTACTGAAAAGCCAGATTTTCCTTTGGTGGGAAAAACAGTGATATGGTCTTTAAAAGATAATAAATCTGTACATCCAGTGGCACTCAACAGCCTGAATATACGGAGGGAGCATGTCCTATCTGCTCCCTGTGCTTTACCCACAGCAATCTGACAGTGCCCTCTCCTATGCCAAGTTGGGTGAAGACTCTCAGTCACGGTGTTTTAGCAGTCACTTCTTCTTTGCTGGGGTTTTGGCATTCCCACCAGCTTTGCCATTAGTTTTGGTGCTTCCTCCTGACTTTGCTGCTTCAGCTTCTTTTTCACCTTTCTTTCCACCACCTTGTTTCTTGTCACCAGCACCCTTTTCTCCTTCTTTCTTCTTGGCCCCATCCTTCCCTTCTTTCTTGGATCCTTTTTTCTGGTCCTTTTCATTTTCCTTCTTCTTGGAGTCTTTGGATCCATTTTTCTTGCCTTGCGCCTTGTCCACTTTTCCAGATACAGTGGGAACTTCTTCTTTTTTCTCTTCTGCCACCTGAGCTGTATGCGAGATGGAAGAAGAAAACAGAAAGGGTGATATTAGCCAAGGAGGGGACAAAACTCCTGCTCCCTGCATGCAAATCTTGCACAAAGGAAAAAAACTTTTACGGGGACTTTGTCCACACAGCGCTTTTGCTCACTGGCCAGCAGCTTTTCATACCTTTGTTTTGAGAAGACGGACTAATGAGATAAAACAGAAGCAGTAATTTCAGGAGCTAAGTTGTGGCTCTGTTGGAGGAAACTGCTTCTAATGGTAGGAACTGGTTCATGAAGGTTATAAGCACAGCCTAAAATGACATTCAGTGTGGACTTATCTCCCAGGAGAAAGAAGAGAAATATCTCTTTTGTAATTCAGCACAGCCCTGGCCTGTTGTTTTTTGTTGTTTGTTTGTTTTTTTGGTTTTTAGTTTGTTTTATTTTTCTGTACTGGGGGTATGTCTCCTCCAGATGAGAGTGGACAGTCGGGATTTTGCTGGGAATCTTTGCTCACAGACAAGCAGAAGATGACTTGCCCTGTAGAGGGCTACAGTATACGCTCTGCTTATGTCCTGCCCCAGATCCAGTCATTAAAGGATTAGTTTCCTACCTGCTACTGCAATTAATGGCAGCAACATACCATGGGCCTACAGCAATTAACCTCAGTGAAGATTCGGTTCTATTTTGTTGTATTTTAACACACAAGCCTTAATAGGTATAGGACACTTACAAGGTCTTTATTAAACCTTTCTTGGCCCTCTTGGTGAGAGGAGTCACCTTAAAAGTATCACACTCTGGCTCTGCAGATTTCAATTGTTCTAAATAAGGATTTAGTAACACAAAAAATATTCCTTATCTTTCTTTTTGTTTGGTTGGTTCTTTTTTAAATAAAAGTGGGTAATTTGCGCAAAAGCATTTCTGGGCTCAAAGTTTGATGCACTGAACTCTCAATTCAAGCTGCAACGTGACACTCAAATACAGATCAGATTTCATATATTTCTTACAGAAAGTTTTTTCTTTGGTCAAGACCAGCAGGGTATAAAGCTGTGCAAAAACATGTGAAAATGTGTTAAGTTTCCCATGACCCGCTTCCCTGAAAATCCCCATTATAGAAGTCAGATAGGTGAATAGATAACCATGTTACCACAACTTAGTAGTTAGTCTCAGCCAAGATGTAGCAAGGACCTGTGAGTGACCTCAGCAAACGGCAGATGATGGGTCACTGTTTCGCTTTCTTCACTTGACGCCTGAGTTAAATCAAATTACTTTACGTTTATCCGGGCTAAGAAACATAGCCGTTGCCTGGCTCAGATGTGATCATTCAGTGAGATGTCTCAACCCTCACCAGGAGCCTCTGTCATCTAATTGGCTTTAGTAGCCCCCTATCTCCCACTGCTATAGACTGCTGTAGTGCTACTTTCAGATTGCATCAGTGTATTACAGGGGAGAATCAAACCCGAATTTCTTATGCTTATCTGAAATATTGCCACAGCCTGCAGGCTGATGATACAAAATATCATCCTTTGGTCTTGGAAACTGGAGAGTCATTTGAATGTATAAATAGAAGGGAAATCATGCAGACTCTTCCTTACAACCACAGTGGAAACCCTCACATTTCATTCGAGATGAGGAGGAAAAAAAATATTGCATGCTTCCTGGAGGGATGCAGCAGGAACTGTGTGAATTCCCAGAAAAGTCAGTTGAGACTGCCTGAGTCCAGAATACAGAAAGGTCTCTCAGACCCAAATGGTACACCTCTACTCAGAGCAGGGGCCAAGTCCTGCTTGTATTTCTCACACAAAATGGGAGACAGAAAGAAATGAGGGAAATGATGTGTAATATTTTACACACTGAACCCTAAAATCCATTTTATTCATTTTCAGAAAAAGGGGTTGCTGCACATGACACTCAAAGAAGCACACGGAGACCCATCTGGCAACGAGAATATTCCATCACAGTAAATGTGGGATAGAGCAAAAAATACCAAGAAATGAAAGTATTTAACCATTATAATGTTTTCATCACTAATAGTATTTGACTCAGAAATCTTTAAAGCATTTAATAGCCATTCAGTAACTGAAATTGTTTGAGTCATCTCTCTGGCCTTGAGTAGGACTACCGGGTTTTCTCACGGTATAAATATAGAGGTAGTCTACAGATACATATCTTATATTTCATTAATATGTAAATCAAGGTGGGTTGCTAAATGCCAGTGGAGTGACATGGCAGAGCATTACACTTTGCACAGATGCCAACAGTAGCACAGAGAAGACACCTAAAAGTTTGTATACTTTCCGTTGTAAATGTCTGATTCAGGTAGTGAAAGACTTTTTGAGCACAGCATTCAGACTAATCTCAGAAGGAGGCCAAACCAGTGGGTTTCATCACATAAAGCTTTTGCACCTAACGTTTAGGGGTTAGGGGTCCCCTTTATAGTCACTGGAGACAAACGGGCACCTTTAAGGCACAATTTACCTGTTCTGGTTTAGCACCCATCCCTTATCATAAAAGCAGCCACATGCTTGAGAAACCTTTTCTTTTCGGTGTGGATAAAAGCAGCCGAAAGAATAAGAAGCTCCGATGCAGATATGTCCATTTATGTGTAGAGTATGCTTGTGGATAGATGAATCCCACCCCAGGTATCGGTTCCTTCAGGGTAGCTCAGGCAGACCCTTGCTCTGAGATTTACCTCTCTTTCGCAAACAACTAGGCAGCTTCACATCACAAGTATTCACGAGCCATTAGTCCACATTAGCAGCCACTCAGCAACCTGTTATCTACCAGGCTCCTCCTCTGCAGCATGTCAGATCCATAATTTAAGGTCTCTCCCGAGGTCAGAGTCAGCTGCTCAACCCACGCATTTCATGGAGTGGGAGCTTAGGTAGTCTTTACGGTGCAGCTGACTTCTCGAAAACGGCCTTGCCGTGGTAACTTGTTCATGAGTCCACGATGCAATATTTTACCATTGTCCAATTAAATCCACACCAAACCAGCCAGGTTTTCGATGCAGCCCGTGGGCATGTTTGTGGGATGTGAAGGCTGCTTACAGGGGTTCAAAATGTAATAATCTTCTGGGGCAAAACTAACATCCTCCTCACAAATTACCTCTTCTGCATCTTTGGGATATTTTCATCCTTATTTTACGGGCTTTCTAGATGTAATGGCTAGGCAGGAGGAGGATGCAGCAGTAAATGGGTTAATTTGGCTTTCTGCTATCTACAGGCATGAGCCAGACCTTCACACTCCCTGGAATCCACTGATAGCTGGTCCTTACAGAGTCTGATATTTTGTCTTTTCGGTAGGAAATCGAAGGATACCATACTAAGTACTTCCATGTGTGACTGCTCATACAAGTATTAACTAGACCTTTGGAGGACTTTCGACTTTGACTTTAAAGTTTAATTACTATTAACTATTTAACTATTGACTTCCATGGCAGAATTGGAAATGGGACTTTCCCCAGTGTTTCGCAAGTCTTTAGGGTCTGAACTCAACAAAGCACATAAACATGCAGTTAACCTTAAACCTGTCCAGAGGATCAGAATAGGGTAAAGTAACTTGTAACAGCTCCACTGATTGCAATAGGTATATGCAAATTACTATCACAAGCTATTCAAGTGCCTTAGCAAAAGCTCATATGAAAGGCTTCAGATTTTGTGGCCTGTCACTTCAAAGACTCTGTCTGTGTCTGTAATTTAAAGAGTGCAAATTACTAAATGGTACTATTCTAGCATGAATACTAGATTGCCTGCACTATTGAACTGTGAGAAGGATCTCTGACATGGTATTGGGACAGGCCAAGTATTACTCTCCCAGACACAGATTAAGAGTAGCATGAGTCAGGGATGATTTCCCGTAGGCCATTTAGATACCTACACTCTGTTTCATAGGTTAATGCAATTTTACTAATTATGTTATCTTTTACTAATTACGTTATCTTTCCCCAGTTTCATGACTGTAGCATCACTGAGTTAGTGAAAATTCAAGTTTGTATGAAGCTACAGACCACAGGGCTTTCAGAGACATGGGAAACGGGGCGGGGAAAAAAAAAAAGGAGAGAGAGAGAGATCTTTGGTTATAAGGAATTGAGAAAACAGAGGTGAAACACAGAAAAGGAACTGAGAAGCAGTGAGTCCAAGGCATGATGGATCTCGTTGGAAGCCACAGAAAAGAGAAGCCAAAGAGACAGACAGACAGGAAGGCAGTCCCCCTAATTTCCTTGCAGGGCCATTTCATCTTCTTCTTTCACCACAGGCAGAGAGTTGAGAGGTCTGGACTGGACATGACCAGAGAGAGTTGGGAGACTTTCAGTAGAGCCTAGGGTACAGAATTAGGAAAGGTGAGTGAGAGGAGGGGACACCAGCCACAGAAATACTCTTGGTTGTCCCGATGGGGCTATTTAGGGGTAATGCGCTAGCAACTCTTTTTCTTCCTACCGACATCCCCCCGGGAACTGGCGCTTAAAATGAATCCGACTCTCAGGAAATTTTAAACATGAGCTGCAAAGGAGTGACCCTGATTTGTGCTGATGGAGCAACTAGCTCTTTTATCTAAATGACCACGCCTGCTGCCACAAATTTTGTAGGTTCAGAATAGTGCATGCAAATGGGAGGGAGTTTATCAAATCTCTCCCATAGCAATATCTTCGTGATTGTGCCAAGGGAGCCACTCCGGTTTATACTGCGGGAAGATCTAGCTCTTTGCATTCATGCATCCACCAAAAGAGGAGATGGTTTTTATGTGTAGGTGTGAACATGGCACATACCTCCAGGGATCTCTGTCAGCTCGTTGAGTGGTGGCACGGTCTCCAGTTTGTCTGCATACGTCTTGGCTGCTTGCCGCTGAGCATATCGCGCCTCTATCTCTTTCTTGGTCCGGGGAATCCGGCACTTGAAGATACAGCACAAGGTGATAACTGGGAAAGCAGAGAGGAAAGCAAGGGCATTCAGTTTAGACCAGCAGAGCTCTGTTTAGCGCCGGCTGGCCCGATCACAGTGAAGAGACTTTAGCAGAAAGAAAGCAAATTTCAATGAAGTTTCCTCAAGTGGGAGCCATTTACATTAATTGAGTTGCTTTTTCCTCCTTAAATCCTTAAAAAGTTTGGGGCGTTCTTCTAAATAAAAGCTTAGCTTTCAAACCTAGTTAAGTTCTTAACCTCATGTATATACCTTGTGGAAATGGGTTCTGCAGGAAGAGATGTCAGACGATCAGTTTTCCATGTTCTGTGTTTTATTTTAACCGGAGGTGCCCACCTCGTATCAATGCTATGGGAAAGAAGCATGTGTCCAGCTTTCTCCACATCTCGTCAGTTGAGTCAGCTCCCCTGGCTTTGTAACATCATGAATGACGTATCAGACTTCTGAGACTAATTCAAGGCAAAGAGAGAAATAATCTGTACATTTGTTTCCAAGGGTGAACATTTCTCATTAACCAGGAGTAAAAGCACTTTTGCAGGAGGCCTGCACAACACCAGCACCTAGACCTTTTGATGCTGTAAATTTTCTTCCCTAAATCAGTTTGTTTTGCATCTGTCCTGCCTCTCCTAAGAAAAGGGGGATTATGTTAGCCAGAAGCAAGCTCTGTGTGACCCCTTCGTACCCTGTCCCCTCTAAAGAAAAGGAAAGTAGCACTTTTCTTAGTGTTTTAATCAAAACTGGTGTAGCGTTACCAAAAAAAAGCATAGCAGCTCCTCTACCCCTTTGCTGAGTTTTGCTGCCAAAAATATCTCTCTCCTTAAGCAGTTTGCTGCAGAGGCGCTGCAGTGGAATCACGCTCAGGGTAACTTAAAAGTCACAATAGGATGAGACATCTAAAGCTGAAGCGAACTGCCTAAAACAAGATGAAATTGTAACAACTTGTAATTGGGGAAGCAATCAAGATGCTTTTATCCTTACTCTCCTGCCAGGGTCAGGAACATGCCGCGGGTAATGGAGCTTTTACTTGTCTCAGAAAAGGAAAGAGAGGAACCCATATGGCATTATTGGCAGCACAATATTGGCAGCTAGCAGGTGGGTAATCCGCCACATCTGGAAAGCACGTGGCTGGCTCTGCCCTGCCGTTCGGTGCAGCAGTATCTCACTGTGCACCTTCCCACAAAACGTGCTATGTCACAGGCAGATAGCAGAGATTTTTTTCAGTCCAGCAGCTGGACTTGGAATCAAGCTAAGGTCGGAGTAGAAATAAGCATACATTTTAAATGGAGACAATAAGCAGAGAAACAACTTATCGAGGGGATGGCGTATGTGTTTTATCTCTAACCAACTTTAAATCAAGTTCTATTGTTCTCTTAAAAGCACTCTGGAACTCAGCTAAGCAGGCAAATCCTCTACTTATATGGGAGAAAAATCAGGAAAATTAGCATCACCTTTCCTACGGATTGATAAACGATGAAACTGTCAGCTTTCAAGCAAAATGGAGTTAATCAGTGTCCTTGAAAGGCAAGGAGAAGATGCCCACTAACATCACAATAGTTCGCTTAGCCTTGGGGAAGGGAGTAGGGGCTGTTGTATCTATCTCTTGCACTTGTATTACTTTCCTATTACTAAAGACAAAAATGGTCGTTGCTAGATAACACTCATAAAGCTGGGCTCTCTGTTTAACTTTCTAATAGAGATGAAGTCGTTCATTGTGGTACTGGAGACTTATGTTGTCTTTGGACATGAAATGATTCATAACCAGCCCCTGGAGCAAGAGGATTATGTGGAAATAATAGAACATCATTCCTATTTCCAACTCTACTGCGAGCTATGCTTAGTGAACGGCTTGATCTATGAAGAAAGCTAAGTATTAGACCGAGTGCTATTATTTCATAAAAGAGTAGGTAAGTGAACGAGATTTTGGTGTAGGAGCTTCAGGTCACCGAAACCCATGAAAAGGAATGATCATTTCATTGCTAGTGGGGTGCCTGCTGGATTCCTTTGCTTTTAAGACCATTTCACCCCCAGGGGACAGTGTGGGTGGAATTCATCTGCCCAGCTTTGTGTGTCCAAAAGTTAGAGATCAGAGTCTCAGACAGCCTCTCCAGGCTCCCTTTACCACTGAGGGAGAGAATGAGGCATCTCTACAGGGTGATTAATCTCATTTTAAGACAGACATTTGAGATAGGTCAGATAAATAAATTATTCTCTGCAGCTGCATTTCTCCCCGTTAACTGCGAAGAGTGCCTAAAATGACCAGTGTGATGCAGGACTGTGGAAGAGCTGTGACTCCGTGCAGATAGAGCTGGAGGCTCGAGAATGTACCGTAGGGCCACCCAAATGTCCCTAGAGATGTATATTTAGGCATGCAAATTGTTCCCTTAGTTACAATAGGTGAATGTCCTCTACTGGAAGTTAAGAATGAGATGTTTGTTGCCTGTTAGAAGACGTTTGGATCTGTCTTACCAGCATTTGTGTTATGCCCTGCCTCAGAGCAGTCAGATGTTATTACATTTGCTCTACTGAAACTTTGTCCATGAAGTGAACCAGAAAGCAAAGCAATGTAACACACATTGCTTCCTGGGCTTTTGTTAATGCCAGCCTTAACATTATCTTCCACTGGAAGAGTAGAGCTATTTTCATTTTGAAGGCAAGGTGAGAAATTGAACAGGTTTGTTAAGGGCCCTGAGTGCGTCTTCACCATCACCACCTTTCCTGGGGGTTTGGCTGACTGGGTTCAGGGCCACATCAGAGATCACGCAGCTGGTGGCCTTCAGAGAGCTAGAAGAAGCTTCAGCAGAGGCTCCCCCCTCTGTCACTTGGGGGTGACTTCTAAGCTGATGCTCTCGTGCCTGGTTCCCACCTGCGCCACACTGCAGTAGTGTTGCAGCTGTTCCCATGCCTGGCCATGTATCTGGTTGATGCGCACCCTGACGCACGGGTGTGACTTAACCTGCCTCGTCACTACAGACTTGCTTGGCAATCTGTGATTCTGTGATTCTGTAATCTCTGGGATGCATCTGACTCCAGTTGCTATCTCTAGATCTGATCCTGACCCTGACTTGCTGACCTGATTACCTGGCTTGACCTTGGACCTGTCTCATGACCGTGGACTTGTCTGGTGATTTTGGCTGAACCTGGCTATGGTCACTGGACCTGTTCTGCCCACCTTTGCCTTTGTCAAGGATAAGGCCTCTGTCAGCCTTGCCACTACGCTTGGCTCCTGACTTCCCTTCCCACAGAGAACAGCCTGCCCTTGCTGCCCCCTGAGAAGGTTAATGCAATGCATTTCCTTCCCTGGAGAAATGATGCTGCCATTTTTTTCAGGGATGCAGACTATGAATCCAAAGGTCAAGGACTGTGAGGATCGTTGTTTAAAAATGTCCATTCCATAGAAGAACAGACCTAGAATTGGATTACGCTGTCTTCTCTGAGAGTTAAACATCAAAGCAATCCTCTTACACAAGTTTAGGACATTACCACTTGTCAACTGAGCCACATTAACTGATGGGCCCACGCTCTCAAGCTAGCAGGTATGATATAAAATAAGACAGCTAAAACCTCCATGGGGGTTATATATATAAAATGAAAGTAGCTTAAACCAAAAGTTTTACTTTGAGATACAATCGTGCACAGGAATATTAACTACAACTCAGCTGAGTGGTGATAAATTGATCCCTTTTGATTCTGGGTCCATAGGATAGTCTTTGTGGGACCATTTTGCTTGGCTGTTACTTTAGAATTAGCTGTTTTGCTTCTCTTCTGGCAGAGAGATGACCTGACTTCAACTCTTGAATATTTATTTTATATCAAATATTCACCAGATCTCTTATACCCCAGGTGAATCATGCTGTTATCAAACAATATTCAGTCTCATTCTCTCATGTTGTGGCTCTCCTTTTCCTTTCCAGGATCTCAACTTTTATTTAATTGTTGAGAAGGCTTCTAAAATGCAGCCTAAGTAAACTGTTACCTTAATGCTTGTCTGACACTGCAGGGAGCTTAAGGTAATCTCCCTAAGATGTATCACTGCCCTGTGGAAGAGCCATAAAGATATGCCATATCGAGAATTGAAATGGTGACATTGTTCTTGGTTTCTCTGCTTATCAAACTACAAAGGGCAGAAGAAGAAACTTCCTGGGCTAGAAAATGTAGTGGCATCATCTGCATTTCTCTCCTTTTTTCTCATCTCTTCTATATTAAGCACACATGGCCTTGTGATACTGTGATAAAAACTATGTTCCATTAAATGCACAATTAAAATCTAAGTTTTTCTTTTTCATTAACATGCTGTGGATTGTTTTTTCGTTTAGCTTCTAAAAATCACTTTCTCACTCTTTTTTCCTTTTCAATTCCCTGATCTAGAAGGTTGAATTCAGCCATCTATTCTGAAGGAACATTTATATTTTAAATTAAAAGTCAGGTCTGAACCTGCACATGGTGTTCTCTTTCCACACTGAAGATTCAAAGTGACAACATAGCAATTCTTTTTTCATTGCTTCTGCCAGGCTGATCATCTGAAATGTAATTTTTCAACTTGGAAACAAATACTTGGTGAACCTTTATGAAATAGCATTTCGAAAGCAGTCAACTTTTTGCCATCTGTGATGACAAAGGAAATATTATAATTGGTACCTTTACCTTTCTTCAGCAAATACTGAAAAATTCTGACTTGGGAAATAATGAAGAACTTGGAGACTTGTTCCTTTCTGGGTTTTTAACATATTTTCACTATTTTTACTGGAGATTATTATCTTCCTAATATCCATATGCAATACTGCAAATGGTTGAGGACCTGAGAAATGGCACCATAAAAACGGTAATTTGAAAACATCATCTGAAGTACAGGCTCAGAACAAATGTTAAATACATAATTTCCACCAAAACCAATTAGATGCCTATGACTAAATAATAACTCTATGTATGTGCACGTCAGTTAGCTTAAACTAAACTGCTTTGTATTTCAATTGGGGAGAGCGAAGAGCGTACCCATAAGACT